TCTCTCTTTCTCATCTTCCTTTTGTTCCTGGTAAAGTGAAGTATTTTGCAATGGTAGGACAATCAAGAAAATGGATGATGCTAATAGCAACAACATGGGTACAGGCTTTTACGGGGACAAACTTTGACTTCTCATCGTACTCTTCAACGTTGAAAACAGTTCTTGGGATATCTCAGGTGCAGCTGAATTATTTGTCTGTAGCTTCAGATATGGGGAAGGCATTTGGTTGGTGTTCTGGGGTGTCTCTCATGTATTTGCCAGTGTGGGTTGTCATGTTCATGGCTGCTTTCTTGGGGCTTTTTGGCTATGGTGTTCAATGGTTTGTCATTAAACAAGTTATTACCCTACCTTATTTCCTGGTAAGTTCTCATTCTTTGAAGACTTTATGATTCTATTAAGGAGTGGAAATGTTATGAGAAATTGAAAAATGCATCTTGTTTTCTTTGTTTTAACTTGAATCTATACTTCTTCAGATTCCCTGGTTTCTCCTTTCTGGAATTGTTGCTCTGTCTTTCCTGAATTTTGGGTTGTTTTTTTTTTCTGGCCCTTTGCTTTTAATTTTTCTTGTCTATTCAGTCTCCTGCTTTCCTGCAAAACCATCAAAGTCCTTCAAGCTTTTATGTTTTTTTTTTCCTTTGTCCAAGGGATAAGTGTGGTTTGCAATGTCCAAGTCCTTTTCGTTTTCTTCTCTTTTTCAATTTTTTCCTTGTCTAGTTTCTTCCTTTGACAAAATTAAAGTAGTGAACCTCACTCCTCCACAACAAACCAAACATAACCACAACCTGACGTTGGCTTGGTAAATGGCAAGTGAAACGACCACATCTGAGTCAATTAGGTGCGGGACTGTTGCTGGTTGTTGAAGTAAAGAATGACTTTCAAAATGTCCACATTAGTTATTATGAGGAAGCAATTCCAATATCAAGATGATAATTATCACTTTCGGGACCTTTTTTTTGCCCTCAATTGCTTTTCTTAGCTAATTTTTGTTAGAATCAAATACTTCAGTTATACAAATGAGACAAATTGCATGAGAGCAGTCCAATTCTTTTGGTTAAACTTTCATTGATTACTTCATTAAGTTTAATCTTTGTTAATTAGATAATCCTAGAAGCAATCACCAAAGAGTCACCTATTAGCTTTTACTACACATTTTGGTCGGTAAAGAATATTTGCATAATTTGGTTATTCAAAGTTCACTTTTGGGTGAAAATTTCTCAAAAGAATATCTCAAACAAGGGTAGTTTTGATTTTCAAGACATTTTTTCATTGAAGGAAAGTTAGGATTTTGTTGTAATGTGACAAAGATTGAGTAGAAAACTTGTTTCTGGTAAAGGTAATACGGGATTTTATGTTGAACCACTCTGTTTGTTATATCAGATCAACCAACGTTTGTTATTGATGGATTAGTTAGTCCATATATGATGGGATTGAAAACCACCAGTGAATTTTTTTATTTTGGATCACTGTCGGCCAGGCAACCTTCCATTCCAACCTACCATTCTCGCATTGACAGAATGGGGTCATCTCCTAAACTCCAGGAGTTGCCTTCAACTTGATACAATTTATTTCAACAAACAGCTTATGCTAGAAAGTTACTGCAATGCCTTTTTTATTGAAGTTAAACTTTCTTCATGTTTAACATGAAATGCGAAATTTACATTGTATAAATAGGAAATGAGTTAAACAGGATGACTATAAATCCCTCGTTGCCTATGAATAAAATTACTTCTGTTCCATTGCATAAAAGGCCCTTGAGGTTGTTGCTATGTCTACATCCTCTCTTATTTGCAGACACAACCACAAGAAAGGACCAAAGAGGTCAAATCCTGGTCTGCAACAACCCTCATTCCTTAAGGAAAGATACTTGACCATTGAGCCAAAACTTACAATTCTATACTGACTTTACCGAATGCTTTAGTTTCTTTTTTCGATTAGAAAAAAAATTCTACTGAATCCATTACTTGAAATATTTGGTACCTATCTGTCTGCTCATTCTTGTAAATCAATGGCTACTACACACTTTTTGCTAATATATTCAACAGAATCTAAGTTTAGTTCCTCTTCAGTTATTAAAAGGTTAGGTTCACCGGGGGAGTTTGGTATTTCTAAGCTAGGCGTTGTTGGACGTTTAAGCTCTTGTATAAAGCTATGACCTGACTGTCAATTTTGGTCATTAACAATATGAATTGGCTTATCAAAAAAAAAAAAAAAGGTTGGGTCACCTATACCTTTCCCTGTTACCCCCCCTGCCCTCTTTTCTATCTAAATGCCTGCACATAAACCAATATTACAAGGAGTTGATGGATAATACCCCGGTCCGGAATTAGGGAAACAAATGCTTGAGTAAACGCTTTTGATTAGTACTGAACCACCATTCCACTGTAAACTAATTATGTTTTAATATGAATTCATGGCAGGTATTTCTTCTGTGTTTGGTAGCTGGTTGTAGCATTTGTTGGTTCAACACAGTATGCTTTGTTTTATGCATCCGAAATTTCCCAACCAACAGGGCACTTGCTTTGTCCCTTACCATCAGTTTCAATGGTGTAAGTGCTGCACTTTACACTCTAATTGCCAATGCAATAAACCCTGATGATGACACCCTCTATCTCTTCTTAAATGCACTTGTACCTCTCCTTGCATCTAGCTTAGCTCTCATCCCAATCCTCCGCCAACCCCTCTTGCAGCTTCTCTCCACTGATGCTGTTAGTCGGGACTCCTTCATTTTCATTTCCTCAATGTTTTAGCTGTTATCACTGGCCTATATCTTCTCCTTTTAAATTCACTTTCATCAGAAGCATTAAGGGCACGCATTCTTTGGTGGGTGCCTTAATCCTATTGCTCCTACCTTTGTGTTTACCTGGCATTGTCTGTGGTAGGAACTGGGCTCGTCACAATATCCATTCCAGCTTTTGTCTTGATGGCTCAACCTTCAGCTTGGTTGACCCTGATGACCTAGAGCTCCATAAGGAGTTGATTGGAAGTGATTACAATAATAGCTTGAGTTTCAGTAATTCATTTTGTGTAACAAACAGAGAAGGGTTCTTCAAGAAGGTAATGGAGAAAGGCAGGTTAACAGTGCTAGGTGAGGAACACCCTGCAAGATTGCTAGTGCACCGGTGGGATTTCTGGCTATATTATGTGGCCTACTTCTGTGGAGGACAATAGGGCTGGTATATAGCAATAATCTAGGGCAGATTGCGCAATCACTTGGATTCTACTCTCAGATTAGCACGGTTGTGACTCTCTACTCCTCTTTCTCATTCTTTGGTCGTTTGCTCTCAGCTGCCCCAGATTTCCTGCGTGAGTATGTATTTACTGCAAATAGTAGTGTATGTGTGTGTGTGTGTGTGTGTGTGTGTGCTATTTACAAGAATGCATCGACATCAAAGAATAAGCGCCATTTTATTACCCGTAAAAATTCATTAAATATAGGAAAGGCATATTCATTAAATAGAGGAAAGGCATCTCTGGCATTGCATCCCTTTGCATGGACAGTGCCCTTACTCTTTTAGTTGACCACTAAGTCCGTTGTTAGACTTCAATATATAGTCATTCAATATCTTAGAACTTGGGAGCAAATCTGTATTGAAGTTGCTTCATAATTGGAGAATGAATTCTAATGTATAGCCTTTTTAGAGTTCTCTAATCTTGCGGTTGGCCACAAAGGCCATTTTTAGAATTCCTACAGGGAGAATTTTGGAATATTAAAATTTTAAATTGACTTCCATAGTTCCATGTAGACTTTTTTACCTCACAAAATGATCACGAGCTAAAATGTCTTTCCAATTGCAGCAAAGTGTACTTTGTCAGGACTGGGTGGCTAGCAGTCGCCCTGGTGCCCACACCATTAGCCTTCTTTTTACTTGCTGCATCAGGTAGTGAGGTGGCATTGCATGCTGGCACAGCCATGATTGGATTAAGCTCCGGTTTCGTATTTTCAGCGGCAGTGTCCATCACATCAGAGCTATTTGGGCCTAATAGTGCCAGTGTCAACCACAACATCCTCATTACTAACATTCCCATCGGCTCACTCCTCTATGGTCTCCTTGCAGCTTTAGTATATGATTCCAATGTGAAAAGTTCCTCCCAGGAAAACTCGTTAGGGGAAGCAATGGTGTGCATGGGTAGGGACTGCTATCAGAAGACATTCATATACTGGGGTTGCATTTCCTTGTTAGGCCTAATCTCAAGCTTTCTGCTTTTCTTAAGAACCAAGCCTGCTTATGACCACTTTGAAAGGAATAGAAGTCGAGCACAGTATTCATAGACTATAAACTAAATTCCCCTTTCCCCTCTCTCTATTTTCCTTTCATAGGATCTCCTATTTGCTATACACTTGAAAGGGTATAAGGATTCCCAAGAAAATTGGGAAAAGCAGAAGTGACAAATGATTCATTGAATCATATATACAACAAACAGAATGTCTGTCCCCCTCAGACCAGGGGGACAAATGTTTCTAAGGAACTACAGAATGGTAAGGCAAAAAAATGGTTAGAATTTGATATTGTTATGACTTGTGGATTGTAAATTTAAAGGGAGACTACAATTTAGCTAGTTTCAACTGGTCATGGCTGAAGCATTGGCTATTACCATTATCTTGTTGCTCAATTGACACATCTAATCTACAGAAAGTTGCTAAGACTGCAAATGACTTAAGGAAAACTTTACAAGTTCACTTCTTTTTTATTTTTTTAAATTAGTAACACCAAATTTGCTGCTAGACTATCATTCATTATTGAATTTTGTTATTGTACTTCAATTGTTTCAAATTTTACTATCATGCTTTTATTTTAGCTAATTTTTATATTATTTGTAACTACAAACACAAAATTACTATACGAGAAGTCTCCTCGCAACCCCGAAATTTGCAATCAAGATTCATTATTTCTACTTTTATACAAAACGGGCGCAATGAGAATTGAGTTTGCTTTTTGTAACTAAATCCTAGAGTGAGAACAATGAACATTATTTAAATCTTCATACACACTTAAGATGTGTCCTTTATATACAAATGTAATATTTTTGTTTGTATGATTCACAAGCATTAGTAAACTATTGAAATTAAACTCTTTAATGTACCCCAAAAACCCTCTCCTATTCAAAAACAGTATCTATAGAATATGTGCTGCACAAACCAAACAAAAAAAAAAAAAAGAACAGGCAGCAACCCAGAAAAGCATGGATAATGGATAAAAAATTATCCAACCAGCTCTTACCACGTAGAACTGTATTTAAACGACCCCAGAAGCATAGGGACAGAAGCAGAGCATCCCTGCCAACATCAACCCATACAACCAGTACTCAGAAACACAATCAGACCTACACAGAATCAGGATGGATTCATCACAGCCACCGTCAAAAGCAAACAGCGGGTGAAGACTAACAGGGAAATGCAGGCAGCTTATCAACAGGATCAAATCAGATTCTCCAAGGAAACACCCTGCACACATAAACAGAAGCAGAAGGAAAACAGAAAAGAAAAAATCAATCGGAGGTCAATAATCTAGTTGAAAACCGTCAGAAGCTGCTGAGCCCTGTTAACGCCTGCCTTTGTCAGTCCGTCCGCAATGTGATTAGCCTTGTGGCCTTGGCATTTGTGGCAAATCTGAAGCAGTCTGCAATGGTGCCATTCTCTCCAAGCCACTTAGCTCTGACCCACGCTCCCGTAAGATCAGTGACTTGCAGAGGATCCCACACCTGACCGCGAAGATTGACCTCGTTTCTGTGTAACCAGATTAACCACTACCAATTGCCAGAAAGAAAAAAACAAACCCTTTCTTAGAATGCCAGATGAAGAAAAACAAAAGAAAAAAGAAAACGAAAGTTAAGAGTTTAACAGGCATTTGATGATGGCCTGAGTTGTACTTGGCTACCAACCTTTATTAAACCGACTGAAATTAGGAAAATCAAAGATGTTAACGTTAAAAAATTTATAGGATGTTGATGATGGTGATTCGTGGCAGAAATTGATGAAGGCAATTAATGCAGTGACTAATAACGAAAACCAGTGGCTAAGCAAACTAATTGAGATAGTGTCGGAAAGCTTAACAAATCGCTTAGTCGAGGAACTCGTCCAGAAGAAGAAGATGATCATTGAGCGAAAGGGTATGAAACGTTGCTTTGGAACTGGAAGCAAAAGTTCTTCTGTTGAAGAAGAGAAAGAAAAGTACTTGATTAGGAAGCAAAAGAAGCAGGAGGAGACAGGTGATTGCAAGAAGAAAACGACAGGCATTGAGAAGAAACAGAAACAGAGGACGGTCAGTGAGACGAAGCAGAGAAAGAGTTTCGATCCACTCGTACAACTTACTGCATTAGGTTTAGAACCGCCTCCCGACATCCCAGAAGTATTCAAGAATCGCATTAAAAACTTAGGCGGGACTGACATAAAGTTAATTATACGGAAATTTATAAATCCTACTGATCAAAGTCGGGATTGGGGCACAATCATTTGTCTATTACAGTGAAACAAGTCAGAAGTAAGTTTTTGAATGCAGTTAGAGGAGGAAATATTCATGAATCATGGAGGAAAAGATGTTATATATGTTGGTAGAACCATTAGGTTCCTATTCTCACTGATATGCAAGTGATTGATTTCTTGAAATCTTATATATAGCAAGGGTTTACTTATTTCTTGACTATGGAGTTATCTTTAAAATAAGTAAGGGTTTACATAACAAGCTACTATAAATAAAAGGGTGGAGGCAAAGGAGCTACTGGAGGTAATTTCTTCTAGAATTAAAATTTCTCTTTAGAAATTATTTGTAATTGATTATGTTTGAGATAATTAAATATTGCATTTGAATGTGGATTTGTCATAGTTTCTATGGTTTAATTAAGTTGTATTTGTCATCGGTTTGCACTCAGCACATCTTCATAATTCGTAATAGGATATTATAGTTTGAATTTGATGTTAAAAGAATAAGACAAATAATTAAATCGTGATTGATTACTAATAATGGAGTAATTTTTTTTTTTCATTAGTTATACAGAGATGCATGCCCATGTAATCTTTGTTTACACTAGACATGCACGAAATTTAATCAACAAATTAATCTATAAATACAGCCTAATTGAGGACAATTATGCAATAATTAAGTAGTAGTAAGTGAAGAGATTAAGTATTTGTAAGGCATCATATCCTTAATTATAGTAATTAGCAAAGTTTTCATATAGAAATTTTTTAGTTTTCTCATCTTCTTATCTTCTTCTTTTTCTTCTCATACAAGGAATTACACTTAAGCTTGCTTAATTCTATATTGTGGTTTGATTGCTTTCACTCTCAGGTTGTAACAGATAGACCATAATGGATCAGAAGGTGATTCTTATGCTTGTCTTGGCAGTTATTGGGGTGATGTTGTTGACATCCATCGTCTGGTCATTTTTGGAAGGCTATAAACAGAGGAAGAGGTCTCAGGCAGCAGCTCCTCCGACATCAGCTTGAGCCTATATTATTATGTTCTTCACCTTTCTCTTTATGGAGGAAAGAGACTTGATTGGTTGTGTTTGTTTAGAGAGAGATGTCGTGTTGTTCCTTTAGACCTTAGTTCATGATATGTTAAAAATTTTCAAATTTTTTTGTTTCAGTGGAAATTAGTAACATCAGAAAAGAAATAAAGTATTTTAATTAAATATTTTAAAAGATTTTGTTAGCATTTTTTTTTTTGGTAATTGATTGCCAGTTTATATTATTTGCATTGAAATGTCAGAAAGTAAAAAAACAAAAGGTCTACTACAAAGGTGTTAATGGGTCGGACTTGGTCGGGCCAAGCTCGGTTTGACTCTTTAAAATGTTGGAGTCGAGCTCAGTCCGGACCTAATTCGATTTATCCATTTGAAGTTGATTAATTTAAATTTATTAATAAAGTGATAAAACTAATTTTTAGAATTAAAATTAACTAAAATTATTTTATTAATATTATAATATTTCAGGTCGAGCTAAGCTTGGGCTTAAAATATCATGTCCAAGGCCTAACTTGAGTTGGCCGCCAAGCCTATACACCAAATACAAAAATCTGAATTGAAAAACCACCTAAGAAAAATATAGGCTTAAATAGTAAAAAGCCCCTAAGTTATGGCCATTGTTTAAACTAAACCCTTACATAACGTTTGTTTGACATTTCCTTTTCATTCTTGAGGAACATTTGGTTGTCAAGTGTCTCAAGAAATAGTCATCCCCTGTAATCTTTATTCTCTAAAATCACGATTTAGGTAATCTTTTATTGTACAAAAATGAACTCTTAATTTTTAATTTATAACCAAACAAGCCCTTAACTAAATGAAAAATTAACCATCATTATATCTAATATATTAATTGACATTTTCTGTTCTTGTGGCATATTACGTGTTTGATAATGTGACCACGTGACAAAACCTAGAACTGCTGCCTCGTCATCACTCATCTACTGCAGCCATTTACTGACATCGAAATTACACAAAAAAAGAAGAAGCTTATTTCCAATTCCTCTCTTTATACTCTTTCCTTTAATCATAGTATTTTTTTCAAAAATCCTCTAATGATCTCTATAAATCTCCAAAATATATATATATATTAACGATCTGAAAAGCTTAGGTCTAGGTTTCATTTTTGAGATTTGGTGAAAATCAATCATCGAAAATGTGGCAAGAAGAGAGAGAAGATGAAGATTGGAAAAAAAAAAAAGAAAAAGGAAGGAAAAAGAGAGGTTTTTTTTTTTTTTTAAATTTCAAAGACAGATCATATAATCAAGTAGCATTAATCATATGCTACGTGAATAGAAAATGTCAATTGGTGCCAAATCTGATGGTAATTATTTTTTTGTCAAGATTAAGGGTTTATTTGGATACAAATAAAAAAAATAAAAACTCATTTAAATATAATAAAAGATTAAGGACTTATTTGAAAATGACCCTAACTTGCAAACATTTTTACTGTTTAGGCTAAAAAATATAAAGAGCTTGTATGCTTACTCTCTATTAATCTAAATAATTGTTGCGTGCATTCCCATATATATGGAATATCTTATACCTTTAATTAACTTTAATAATTGGCCCATAAACAATAATTTTAATAATTAGTCACTAAACATGCATATATAGAAATTAATATAGGTATTTATTGTAGAAGCACGTAAAATGGGGATGAATGCTTAATTTTTTTAATCTAATAGTAATTATGTATCAATCATATAGTACCAAACAATAAAATTTTGCTTAAATGTTGGCAAGTAATTAAGCTGTCTCTATTTCCCTTCCTTAAACTTGGACTAATTGATGAAGAGCAATTTATAATAATTAAAAGTGATGAATTTCCTCTGTTATGTATCCCATATATGTATATAATTGACCTAATTTATTAATAGAGAAAGGGATCACTCTCTCCCTAAAGATGCCCTAACTTGTGAAGTAGACCCTAACATAAGTGTTAATTTACCTATTTTCTTGACCATTACGTTTAGACTCTTTTCAACCGTAAACTAGTATAAATAGAGGGTTGGATGCAAGACAGGCTATCACACACCAATATAGCCTTGGACGCCCCTTTGGAAGATTCTCAAGTTCCCAAGTGTACTTCGAAATTTGAAGGTTATTCTTTCAAGCTAGATAGGGTAACAATCTGATCCCTTTGGTTCTCTCATGTTCAAATGTGTAGCTTTAACC